ATTATTATTATTATTATTATTATTATTATTATTATTATTATTATTATTTATTATTATTATTTATTATTTATTATTTATTATTTATTATTATTATTGGAATTTTAGTCTTTCTGGCAAGCAGGAAATCTCTGCCCCATGCCCCTGTTTCAACTTGCCAGGGCAGATGAGAGTTCTCAGTTGGAAAAGATGCCCATTCTTCCAATATAGAGTTAAAATCCACAATAGCCACCCTCCTTGCCCTTGTTTCACTTTAGAACTTCTGTACGGCATTTTGGGTTTCCTCGCTTCTTTTTTCCATCAACTCGTGGCTTTTATTCTGGATTACGTAAACTTATTTCTTTAACCTTCCTATGCTCCTGTTTAAAGTAAACTAGAGTTTACCATTATGTCCCCAAGGAGTATGAAGTAATCCAGAGTAATTGCCCTTTTGTACAATCCATGCATTGGCAATAGGGAATAGAAGGCACAAATCAAGATATATGCATGAAGACATGTTTATGTTCACATGACACACTGAATCACAAAGTAGCCAATCATATTTTATGTTGATATGGTGGGCATCCAACCCCTGTGATTAACTGAAGGTTCAGCATGCCTGCCAATCCAAGGTATTGGGTTAATTGATCCAACCACGGAGGGGCTCTTATGAACAGAGGCTTTATGAGAGAGCATTCATGTTTGAATTGCTATAATACAGATAGTTCTGTTGCACACTAGAAGCTCAAGAGGCCTGACTCAAATGGAGGGGGTTGCAACCTGAGCCACAACTATAATTTCACAATGCTAATTTGTAGCTGCATGAAAGGAAGTCCACTGAGTTCAGAAACTTCAGTTTATTCCAAACTATGTTGTTTAGCATTGGGACTTTAAGGAGTAAGGGGTAGTTAAAGCAGGGGAAGGGTCTCCCAATGCCTAATTTGTACTCTCCTGTTGAACTACCCCTCCCTCAACCACCCCCTAGAGCTGGGTCTAAATCAGCACCTTCTTGTCCTTTTGCAGAGAGGCATGGCCTGAAGGAGCCCAAGCGGGTGGAAGAACTACAGAACAAGATTGTCAATTGCCTCAAGGACCATGTGACTTTCAACAACGGTGGCCTGAACAGGCCAAATTACTTGTCCAAACTCCTGGGCAAGCTCCCGGAACTGCGGACCCTCTGCACGCAAGGCCTGCAGCGTATTTTCTACCTGAAACTGGAAGATTTGGTGCCGCCACCAGCAATAATTGACAAACTTTTCTTGGACACTTTACCTTTTTAGAAACAAGGACAGAGAAAGGGAGAAAGAGAAAAAAAAAGTGTAAGGGGATGGTGGGGGTGGGGAAACCTAGAAAGAAAGAAAGAAAGACAATGCTGCTGTGTTCTCAGAGTTGAAGAACTTTCGAAGCCTCGAAGGTGGTGGTGGTGGGGGGAATGCAAGCAAGCAAGCAAGGAGATCGAAGCCCAGGAGAAAAGCAAGAGCCCCCTGTTTCCCTCTCCATAAGGAAGGAGCATCTCTGGCTGCTGCATGCTCCCACCCCTCCAGACTGTGGCTTAGCTTGTCCTGCAGAACAGTGACTGAAAACTGGGGGCTGTGGCCATGCTGAATTCCGTTCCTTGGACCACACACAGATTCCCATGGTACCAGCTTTTTATTCTTGCCAAAACAAACAAACAACCCCCCCCCCCCCCCAGAAAACTAAAGTCTCTTTCGCTCCCATCCACTCCCTTTCCCCCAAAGCAAAAAAAAAAACAAAAAACACACGACACACAGGTTTTTAAAAAAAAGAAAAGAAAAAAAGAGTTCATTACTCTGTCAGGATGGCTGTGACCAAGGACTGTAAGTTAGGAAGCTGAGTCTTGCTCAGGCTTTAGCTGCTGCTGCTGTTACTGGCAAGAGTATTTCAAAATGACCCACTCAATCTCCCCCTTCCCTCCTTCCTTAAGACTTTTAAAAGTGTTTTCTGCTGTAAAGGGAAAGCTGTAATATATTAGAAGATGAAATTAAGGGTGCGGGAGGGAGAGGGTGCAGCATGAATCGACAGAAGGCAAAGGATTGTACACTTATCAGATGCAGTTTGGCCTTTTCTTTCTAAAAATACAGAGCAAAACTATTCTGTGCCTATTTATGAATAAGCTATTCAAACCACTATAAAATTAGAGAAAGAGAGAGAGAGAGAAAAAAGAGACTAAATCAAAGGGATTTGAACAAAAAGATTTGATTATTTAAGATTTAAATCAAAAGAAAGTCTGATGATTCTAGGAAGACAATGTTATTATAGGCACTTGCTATTTCAGTAATGTCTATATTCTATAAATAGTTATTTCAGACACTATGTAGTCTGCTAGATTTTATAAAGATTGGTAGTTCTCTAAGAAGCTTCAAACTTTTTTTTTTTTCTCAGTTGTAAAATAGGTGGGCACAGGTGTTACACAAATACAACAGACTCCCTACCCACATCCATTTCTGGAAAATCTTCCGAAAAGGGACCCATATTCCCGTGTTTGTAAACACCGTTTGGCATTCCTTGTTTGTAAGTGTCGTATGTATTGTTGATGCTGATTAAAAAGAAAACAGTTTATATCTTGATCATTTTGTTGTCTGAGGAGAAACCAGTCTTGCATGCACAAGCTTTTTTGACTATTTCCAGAGTGTTTCTCTCATATATAGATCTCCCTGGAAATTATTGAGCACTTTGTCTTTTTATTTCAAGTTTCTTTTGTTGAGGGAGGGAGTTGTTTTTTTAATGCCTAAAATTGTTAATATATTATTTTACGTATCAATACCATGTTTTTTAATGCCATATTATGTAGTATATCTATTTTTCTTTGTATATTTCCAGTATGGCATATTTTGAAATCACTGCCTCTTCCCTTTCCTCTCTCCCATTCTACCCACCCCACAATTTCTCCATGTGGTGTATATGACAGTTAGAAGCTGACCCTTTCTCCCAAACCCTTTCTTGGAGAAAGATAATTTTAATGTTTACAGCAAATAAATCCATGTCAACGAACAGAATCCCGTCTTTTTTCTCTTTAGGAAAAAAAAAAAAAGTCCCAGAAGCCTCCCATGATAGATAGTTACATTACGGATGAGGATGGTGGTGATGATTCATAGCACTGAAACAGCAGGTTAAAGAAGTGCTATATGTATGGTGGCTTTTCTGACCTGGGAAAAGGAATTTGCTGTTTTAAGTGGCAAAAGGAGGCAAAGCTTAAGATGTAGAGTTTACTTTCTTTTTCTAGCTTCAATACCATGTAGTGTCTGTTGTTTCTACTATTTTAGCCTTCCTTTGAAATTTCTGGGAACCTAAGTTAAATGCAGAAATATTTGCCTTATCTGGCTCTAAAAATTTAAATAGGTCCTACAATGCATTCTAAAGGAATTAGCTTTTGTGAGTAATCTTTGCATTAGTCTCTGATTCTGAATGAGTTTGTTCTACACCAAATGGAGTAGCAAGTGGCAAGATGTAGCAAAAAAGAAAAGAAAAGAAATGGGGTAGAAAGAGGCTGGAATAAGTTAAGGTATTTGGAACTGGAGCATTCATGTCCATTGCTGAAATTTAAATAGGCTAAATTGGATGAAATTGATCTTAACAGTGTGCATGCATGTGTGTGGACACCATAAACCTGTGGCATGTTTAGTGGAAAGCAAGTTCCACAGAGTTTAAAGAATCTGAGAATCTAACTGCAAAAGGCTGCAGTCTTAATTTATTTACAATGAAATGCTAAGGATACAACTCAAATACATTCCTGTTGAATTCACAGGGTTCTTTTCCAGAGAAGCATGTGGTTACATTCCTAAATCGTTTACTAATGTAAATGTAATTTGAATTCAGTGCGATTTCAGTACATTTCGGCAGAATTAGGTTTGGGCTGTTAAGATTTGGACAGGAAATTAATACTTCTGTACTTCACGTGGAAGAAAATTGGTTTATTTCAATGGAGTTTTCTTCAGACTAGGTATATTTAGGTTTGGGCTGATGGAAATCCAGTGTTGAACCTTCCCCAATAAGGTTTAGGAAGTGGAAGTCAAGCAATCCTAAAGTTAAGGCTGTACATGCTGTGGATTCATCTGGGAGTGTGCATCTTATTGTACTTGAATACAATACTTTCATTCCTTTTGAAATAATTTATGGATTTTGTTAGCATAGTAGGATTTTTAATATATATTTGAGAAAAAAAGCAACATTAAATGTGTAAGCAAGGAAACGGTATCTTTGGATCTCCTTCCGATTCATTAAACTTCAAACTCAATTTATTTCAAACCAAAATATATAGCCGGATGCGGGACACAGCTAAGAAAACTTGATAGGAGGATCCGTGTTTTAGATACAAACACATTTGCGAGGCTTTTTTTAAATAAAGAAATAAATATAATTAATATGTTTTCGGGTGGGGGTAGCAAAGTTAATATTCCCATTATTATTATTATTATTTAATTGCAGGGGGGCGGGAGAAATTTCTCATATTCACACAACTCTTTTGCTGTGTGGCTGTTTTGAATCGGGAGTCAGAAGTCGTAGCTATCGTAGTTTTACATTTTCTCCCCGTTCTCCTGTGCGGCTGGGGAAGGCGGGGGTGAGGGGGCGGCTAAAACGAGACACCTGATTGTTGGAATCAAGGAAAGATGAGGCTCATCCAAGATAAATAATGATAACCATAACAATAACAATTCTTGTCCGAGGAGGGAATCCGTCGGATCCCTAATCTTAGATTGATGCGTCGCACGCAGGAGGCAGGTCGGGGGGAAGCAGCTGGTTTTCCAGGGAAGAAAGGTTCCTAAGGTTGCGCAGCTGGCGCGAGCCTGACCGGGCGTGGGCCCCGGGGATTTGAGCGGGGCTTAGTCTTAAGAAACGGGGGGAGAAGGAGCGCGCGGCCTGCCACGCTCGAGCGGTCCTCAGAGCCGGCGCCCTTCACTCTTCTTTCCAGATTGGCTCTTTCGGCGGCCCTGACGGACCGTCGCGAAGGTGAGGCCTCTTTTCCGGCGTAACTCAAGCTCAGAAACGATGCGGGGCTAGGAGACGGCCACGTTTAGATCTGGCAGAAGGGCCGGGGGGTGGGGATGGTGCTAACTCAGCCTTGGGTTGGAATCATGTTTTTTTTTTTTGGGGGGGGGGGGGTCAACGTTCCCCAGAGATTTCACCCACCCACTCCCACCCCACCCCGTCGAGTCCACAACCTGAGCTTGTGACTCTACAAGGGTCACGCGTGCAGCAGTTTGCCTTTCGGACCGTCCCGTTTTTTATTTAATTTCATTTTATTTTTCGAGGCAAAGGAAATGATACAAGTTGGGAGAAACAGGTAGCGAGGGGGTTCTCAGGGCTCTCCGGAAGACCTTTTCTTAGACCAGAAGCGAGGAATCTCCTCAGGCAGAGAAGCCTGAGGGAATTCGGAGGACAAGCCTCGGGGTAGGGGGATGGGGGGGTTGAAAGTTTCCCGCCCGAAAAGTAGCGGTTTCTTCACAGAAAGCGCGCCCAGCGTAAGGCGGCTCGACGCTGCGCTCTCTTTTCCCGCCCATTTGCAGGCAGGAGGCTCAGGCGCAACGGCTGCTTCAGGCAGGACGGGCACCACCGCCCCCCCCTCCACACCCACCGTGCCCCTCCGCTAGCCTAGCCCGGCTGTTATAACGGGAGTCGAAAGGGGAGGTTGTCGTCCCCCCGCTTTTCTCGAGGCGTTTAGGTTGTGTGAGTGTGTGTGTGTCTGTGTGAATTCCAGCGACGCCTCGCTGATAATCGTGGAGAGGGAGGGAGGGAGGGAGCGAGCGGTAGCTCCTCTGGATGGGCGACTGCGGGGCGCGCCGCGGAGAAAGCCTGCGATGGAATCTGCGTTCCTCCGCGGCTGAATTTTCTAGGCATTACTTTCAGCGGAGGTGGAGGTTTTCATCTGGCGCGGGGGGAGTTTAACCAGAAATAAAGCAAAGCCGCCTCTCCGCTGAGAGAATTAAGGAGAGGGGCGAGGTGGGGGGGGAGGGGAGGGGACGGACGAGTGGAGAGGCGGCTTTTCCCCCAGTCGCCCCGCCATTGGGGCGCTTCCATTCCTCCCAACCTTCCCGCCTCCGAGAGCTCTTGGGGCGCTTTAGGACCTCGGAAAGCTTTTCCTGTGCCGCCGCTGGAGGGGAAGCCTCTGCTGAGGGTCCCTTTGGACTTCGGCTGGCTTGTTTTCGGCGCGAGGATTGGGGACGCAGCGAGAGGGCTCGGCTTGTATTTATGGGCGCGGTTTAAAGGGCGCGTTTGAGCGCAAGCCAGACTCTCAGCGGCTGGAAATACACAGGCCGTGCTCGCCGTCGCGGGCGTCCCTGCTTAGCGCCTTCTTGAGACAATTGGGGAAGTGGCGGCGCTGGGGAGGCTTCCACGGAGTCCTCGGTAGACGTCGAAATAGCCCCGATTGCGGGACTTAACGCGGGGAAAGCGACTCCCGGAGAGGGAATTAGAGGTCCATTCATTCGAATGCGACGCCTTGGGGAAACGTGGCGCCCAATAACATGAATGGGGCTACCTAAGGGAAAGGAAACTGGCTCTCGAACTCGAGCAAGAATATTTGGGGAGAAGGTGACTGGAGTGGCCTGTAGCTGGCGCATCGCTGATATCTCGGGTATATCTCAATAGGAGAGAAAGCGACGTGCTGTGGTTAGCTCCTTCCTGAGTCACTTGCCCTTGGCCATCAGTTCGCTCCCCCCCGCCCAAGCAAGCAAGAGGGAAGTTCCTGTTGACGGCCAGGAGCGAAAGGAGGTCGGAGGAACTTTGCTCCTTTCGAGGGATGCCCAGTTTTGCAACTGGCAGCCTAGGTTGCCCTACCTGTTACGCTACTTTAGCGTTGCCCAACCCTTCTTTGCAGTTCCCGAGCGGGGACTCTCCACCCCCTGCGAACCTGCAGGGTGGCCCGTCGCATCCCAGGTGGGCTGATCGGCAGGATGCTTGCAAGACGCTAGGCCGGACCTAGCGCGCCCCCTCCTCTTTCTTCCACCGTAACGAAAGACACGCCCCGGGGGTTCTGCGAAAGGACCGGATGCACCTTAAATATTACGGTCCCGTAGGTTAAGTCCGTTTCCTCCACTTGCCTCCTTAGGCTTTTTTTTTTTTTTTGAAAAATATTTCACTGCTGAGGCATTAACAGGATTGAGGTGGCCGGAATGCAAAATGCGATTCGACGTCGGAGTTTTACTGATTTGAAAATTATTTCAACCCGCGAAATCCTGGGCTGATTTCTGCCTCCTCCGATGGTCTTCTCTTACCTGCTTTCATAGCACCTGTTCTGCGTTTTGTAGGCTTAGCCAATCCGTTGCTCCGTGCCGTGAAGGTTATCCCATCACTGGGGAATTCAGCTTGGTTGCATGGTACGAAGGCTCCAAATCCGATGCCCATTTTAACTGGGTTGTATGCTTCTGTTGAATTCAATGGGATTGACTTCGGGAGTGATGTTGGTAATTCATAGATTTGTAATGTAAACGAATCAGTGCCAGTGCCCTTTCTGGTGTATCTCCTCAAATGTAAACCATCTGATTTCACTGGCAGATATTCTCAGATAAGGGAGAATAGCTCTGCAACCTGAAAGCCGACCATTTCAACTGCAAGGATACCCC